CCGCAGACCCGATTCATCATATGCCGTGTTCTCTGCTGCCATGGCCAGGCATAGATATGAGAGTATAATGTGATTTATACATTTCAGCAACAATACACTCTGTCATCCTCGGGTGACCCTGAATTTGACCGGCTCCACAAAATTCAGCCCCTCGCAAATCACCTTAACCAAAAATTTGCAGATGTCTATACTCCCCAGCAAAACATCTGCGTTGATGAGTCCCTCATTCATTTTTCTGGCCGCCTTGCATTCAAACAATTTCTCCCCAGCAAGCGTGCCAGATATGGGGTCAAGATGTAGAAGACCTGTGAGAGGGCAACAGGCTATACTTATGTTTCAGATTTATGAGGGAAAAGATAGTCACGTGGAGCCCCCCGGATGCCCAGACTACATGGGGAGCAGTGACAAGATAGTTTGGGACTTGGTGTCATCATTTCTCCATATGGGGTACCACTTATACGTGGACAATTTTTATTCAAGCGTGCCACTATTTAGACATTTGTTCAATCTTGGAATTGGCGCATGTGGCACCGTGTGACCTAATGTGTGCCCACCATTAGACGTGGGTGGATGCAGGGTGGTATATTCTAATGGTGGGCATACCACACACTTTTTCTGGCAGAGATTTCTTCTCTTTTTTCATTCAGTCCACAGGCTGCATACAAAAAAAAAGAACATATCATATATACCCAACAAGGACCAGCGTACTGGTACATCACTGGACTTTGAATGGTTATATACCAGGATGATGCCTACAGCTGCAGGACTCATCCTGGTATCGTTTTTTTCAGCCGGTGATCGGCTTTCATGTAAAAGCAATCCTAGTGGCTAATTAGCTGTATGATTGCTTTTACAAGCAGTGGGAGATGATGTCCCCCTCCCCCGCTGCCTTCCACGGCCTTCTCGGGCAGTCCCGTGCCATCGGGGCAACCTGAGAATGCAGCCGGTGTTTCTGCCAGCTGACCATAGAGCTGATTGGAGACCAGAATGGTGCCAATCATCTCTATAGTCTAAGAAATCGGAAGCTATGAGCATTTCATCACTTCAGTTTCGCAGGATATAAACAGCACCATTTGTAAATTGGGAAAGCATCTGACCACCGATGTTGGTTTGATTAGATAATGTAAGGGCAGAGGAGATATCTAGAATCTGATAGACCCCAGATTTCTCAAAAAAGAATATATGACAATGCCCATTGAGGTTATCGGGGATATTTGCATTCCCTGTGATAGCATTAAAAGTGATAAAAAAAATGAAAGGTACAAATGTAAAAATAATTAAAAAAATCAAAATAACTGAAAAAAAAAAAACTTGCCCCTCCCATGTGCGCACACCTGTGTGCACAAGCCTTGACCCTGTGCCGGTATGTATGTAAACAGCGGTTGCACCATGCATGTGAGGTATCGCCGTGAACGTCAGATGAAGGGCAGTAATTCTAACACTAGACCTCCTCTGAAAATCTAAAATGGTGGCTTGTAAAGTCTTTTAAATCATTGCCTATGGATATTAAAAATGTTTGCAGTTTGTCGGCATTGCACGGGGCATGCGCAGTTTTAAAGCATGTCATGTTTGGTATCTATTTACTCGGCATACCATCATCTTTTATATCTTACCAAACAATTGGCCAATATATTGTGTTTTTGTGCATTAAAAGTAAAAAAAAAAGTGTATTTTTGCTTTTGAAAAATCGCTGCGCGAGTACTATGTGCCATAAAAAATTGTAGTACCCACCATTTTATTCACTAGGGTGTCTGATTTAAAAAAATATATATAATGTTTGGGGGTTTAAATTAATTTCCTAGCAAAAAATACAGTTTTTTTTTTAATGTGAACAAAAAGTGTCAGAAAACCGGACCCCACTACTATCTAATATTTACTGTGTATTTGCTGACACTTGTATATGTCACTCCAGCTTGTATCCTTCAAAACACCTAAGGAAAAATGGCGCCCGCTTAGCCGTGCGTGCGCACTAAGTTACGTCTTCTCAAAGATGGCGCATGTATAATGCGCATGCGCAGTCGTCTATATAAACTGATGGCGCGCGGCTTGGCGTTATTGGTGTTCCCCTCGGATGACCTGCGGGTGCACGAAACGCGTAAGGAGGAGCCAATAACGCCGCAGGAGCAACATGGAGCTCTGGTGGCCATCTTTAACTCTGGCTGGTTAGTCCATGCGGTTTTGATTACTCACAATATGTGTTTTTATCTGGATACCTATTATTATCTCAATAAATATTCATACTACTACACTATGGGATGTGTTTGCCTTGACTCCCCCGGGGAGTATTGATTTACAGACATCCACTGCCCAGTTCCCAGAGAGGGAGCCTCTATTACACCCAGTGAGCTGCACCCATCCATCCCTTAAGGGGAACTCTGGAAAAGTCCCAGGACCCATCCCCCATAAGAGGGAGTTTACTGTATTCCTGCCCTGAGATGACCATTAGATGACAGCAGGATTTATTACAAAACGCACATTATTTTACGCGTTCCGGTGAGTGCGCATTTCTTCCAGACCTGATTGCACACAGCACCGTTTCCAGGACTGTACAGGATATAGGAGCACTTAGTCACTTTATGAACTTTTATATGTCTGGTGTTATTTATATCGCATGACTTTATTTTTCAGAAACAATTTGTGAATATTTATGTCACTTTTATATACCTTTTTGACCTTTTGCAATAATTTTCGTGCTGCTAATCTTCAGGTTTCCCTATCCATCATTCAGGAGGTCCAGTCCCCACCATCTGGGGATACAGTATGTATGGTAGGTATATACCTTTACATTGCTGATTGTCAGGTGTTACTTGGTTACCTTGTGCATAGCGGCTGATATCCATTTTTGTGCGCTCACATATACCTACCATACATACTGTATCCCCAGATGGTGGGGACTGGACCTCCTGAATGAAGAACAGGGGAACCTGAAAATTGTCCTGGGCAGGAAGGGGGTAAAAGTGCCCGGAATTGAAGGGGTTAAAGGGCAAATATGACAAGAAAACATTCAAAATGCTGAACATAGCACAAGGCCGGGATCACACCATGAGACATTTCTCGGGGCTGCAGTTCCTCTGAGCTCCACAAGGTGGTGATCTCGCTTATACCCAAACAGGAAGTCTCTATGGAAGACAGGAAGTGATGTCAGCTACAGACAGGAAGTAGAGAGGAGACCTTGGTGGAAGTGGCAGCAGAGGAGGTAATAAGATGTTATGTTCTATTTACACCCAGTAACCCCCGTCATGTCCGTCCTCTTCCTCCATAGTCATGTCCGTCTGTCCTCTTCCTCCATAGTCACGTCCGTCCTCTTCCTCCATAGTCCACGTCAGTCCTCTTCCTCCATAGTCACGTCCGTCCTCTTCCTCCATAGTCACGTCCGTCCCCTTCCTCCATAATCACGTCCGTCCTCTTCCTCCATAGTCACGTCCGTCTCTTCCTCCACTCCTCCTCTCCTCCATAGTCACGTCCGTCCTCTTCCTCCATGTCACGTCCGTCCTCTTCCTCCATGGTCACGTCCGTCCTCTTCCTCCATGGTCACGTCCGTCCTCTTCCTCCATGGTCACGTCCGTCCTCTTCCTCCATGGTCACGTCCGTCCTCTTCCTCCATGGTCACGTCCGTCCTCTTCCTCCATGGTCACGTCCGTCCTCTTCCTCCATGGTCACGTCCGTCCTCTTCCTCCATAGTCACGTCCGTCCTCTTCCTCCATAGTCACGTCCGTCCTCTTCCTCCATAGTCACGTCCGTCC